CACTGAGCTCCATTCACACAAATAGCTTTCTACCACCACCTCTGTCTCCTGTCACTAAGCCAGTTTTGGATCTAATTTGCTAAGTTATCCTGTATCCATGTTTTACCTTGTTTATCACTTTCCCATGTAGCATATACTATTATTCTTCCAATTCCCTGGTTACATTTTTTGTGATTTTTTTCTATCTTCTGTTATACTTCTCTGCATTAAGTATCAATTTCTAACTCACTTGTTCAGGTCATTATGCAAATTTCGAGCTGCTTTCCACAATTTCTTAAAACACAAGAAATAGGAGCAGGAATTATCTGAATGGCCTATCAAGCCTGTTCCACAATTCAGTAGGATCTTGGCTTATATTGGGTTCACCAGCAGTTTCCAACCTGGTCCACATGCCCCCAGTCCCCTGAAAGACTCAACATGTAATATTCCCTCGGCAAATATAATCAATGATGGAACATCTAGGATCATTTGTGAAGAGAATTCCAAAGTTTCACAAACCTTTGCGTGATATAATTTTTCTTCATCACCTTTCTAAATGATTATCACATTATCCTGCAACTGTCCCCTTGTCTTAAATTCCCATAAAGACTTCTTTATTCCTGAACTCCAAGTCCCAAGCAATAAAACGGTGACATGCACTTCCTTTTCTAATTGCTTGCTGTACATGCGTGTAAACATTTTACATCTGTATAACCAGCACACTGAAGTTACCCTGAACATGAATATTTACGAGTTCCAGATCTTTAAAAAAACATTCTGCTTTTCTATTCTTATCTTCAAATCAATTAACTTCACAATTTTCCTCATTATACTCCATTTGTAATCTCCTTTCACACTCAATTAGACTGTCATATCACATTGCATTCTCTCTGAGTTCTCTCCACAGTTTACATTGCACTCTATCTCTTCTTATGAAGAACAAAGAACAGTACTACACAGGAACAGGCCCTTTAGTTCACCAAAACTGTGACAACACATGATGCCTTTCTAATCTAAAAGCCTTTTGCTTCTATGCTGTCCATATCACTCTGGTCCCTGCCTTTTTATATATCTGTCAAGATGTCGCTAAAGTATTGCTATTGTATCTGCCTCTACTACCTTCTCTGGCAGCACATTCCAGGCACTTACCTCTCACATCTCTTTAACGCTTACCAACTTTTACCTTAAGTCTATGTCCTATTGTAATTGACATTTCTGCCCTGGAAAAAAAGACTTCAATTATCCATTCTGTCCATGCCTCTTGTAATTTTGTAAAGTTTCATCAGGTCACCACCACCACCACCCCCCAACCCCCACCCCCCCAATCCTTCGATGTTCAAGTGAAAACAAACCAAGTCTGTCCAATCTCACCTCACAGTTAATATCCTCCAAACCAAGCAACATCCTGGTAAACTGTTTCTGTACCCTCTGCAAAGCCTCCACATCCTTCTGTTCGTGTGGTGACCAGAACTGTATGCAATATTCCAAATGTGGCCAAAATAAATTTCTATTCAGCTGCAATGTAACTTGCCAATGTTTATACTCTACGCCTTGATCGATGCAGGCAAGCATGCCATATGCCTTCTTGACCATTTTCAGGGAACTGTGGACCTACATGCCTAGATTTCTCTATATATTGATGCTGCTAAAGATTCTGCCATTTACTGTGTACTTCCCACTTGTATTTAATCTCCTAAAATGCATCGCCTCACATTTGTCTGGATTAAACTCCATCTGCCACTTTTCCACCCAAGTGGGGAGTATTCCATCATACATCAGACTTAACCTTGGGGAAGGCAATGACCCAGTGATATTATCTGTAGCCAATTAAACCAGAGACACAGATAATTTTCTGGGAACTCAGGTTGTCATCCCACTATGGCAAATGTTGGAATTTGATTTCACTTTGAAAAAAAAATGAAATTGAGAATCTAATGATGACCACGAAACCATTGTCGATTGTTTGTAAAATACCCATTGGGTTTACTAGTATTCTTCAGTGAAAGGAATTGCTGTAATTATCCGGTCTGGCCTACATGGGACTCCAGACCTACCGCAATGTGGTTGAATTTCAGCTGCCCCCTGAAGTGGTCTAGCAAGCCGTTCAGTTGCATCGGCTCTAGAACACAAAAGATGAATGAAAACAGCAGACCACGTGGTATCAACCTTAGGGACTGAAAACGACGATGACAAACTCAGCCATGATAACCCTGCAACGTCCTCATTACTAACATTTGGGTGCTAATGCCAAAATTGGGAGAGCTGTAACACACATCAATCAAACAGTAGCCTGACATAGTCATACTCACGCAATCGTAAATTACAATGTCTCAGGAAACAGCATCACCATCCCTGGATATGTCCTGTTCCAACTGCAGGACAGACTCAGCAGAGGTGGTGGCCCAGTAGTATACAGTCAGAAGGGAGTTGCCTTGGAATTCTTCAACATTGACTGTGGACCCCATGAAGTCTTATTTCACCTGTTAAAAAAAAATGGGCAAGGGAACCTCCTGCTGATTAGCACGTCCAGTCCTCCTTCAGCAGATGAATCAATATCTTTCGTGTTGAACAACACTTAGAGGACACACTGAAAGTGACAACAGCACAGAATGTACCCTAAGTGGGGGATTTTAATGTCTATCACCAAGAGTGGTTTTGGCAGCAGCAGTACTGATTGAGCTGGTTGGGTCCTAAAGGACATAGCTAATAAAGTGGGTGACAACAAGGCTGCATTCAACAGTGTGTGGCACCAATTGGCCTTAGCGAAGCTGGAATCAATGGGTATGGAGGGCACATTCTCCACTAGTTGAAGTTATAGCTGGCATACAGGAAGATAGTTGTGGTTCTTGGAGGTCAGTCATCTCAGCTCCGGGACATCTTTGAAGGAGTTCCTCAGGGCATTTTCAAAGATCCGGCCGTCTTCAGCTGCTTCATCAATAACCTTCCCTCCATCATAAGGTCAGAATCATACAATCACTGCAGTGTGGAAACAGGCTAGTTGGCCCACTGAGTCCACACTGACCCTCCAAAGAGCATCCCACCCAGATCCATTCCATCCCTTTAACCCTGCATTTTCCATGGCTCATCCACCTAGACTGCATATCCCTGGACACTACAGGCAATTTAGCATGGCCAATTCACCTAACTTGCCCATCTTTAGACTGCGGGAGGAAACCCACACAGACACGGGGAGAATGTGCAAACTCTACACAGACAGTTGTCTGAGGCTGGAGATGAACCCAAGTCCCTGGCACGTGAGGCAACAGTGCTGACCACTGAGCCACCATGCTGCTCACTTCTGTAACAGTTCATATAATTCAGAAATGCGGTGTTCAGTAATGATTGCACAATGTTCAGTCCTATTCATAATTCCTCAGATACTGAAGATGTCCATGTTCAAATGCAACAATATCTGGACAATATCTAGGCTTGGGCTTACAAGTGGCAAGTAAAATTTGCATCACACAAAGGAAAGGACAAGGAGGCTGAGGTCTGCGAGTGTATTGAATTGTAGGTGTGTGAGGTAAATATGGGGTCTGTCGAAAAGTTACTCAGGAGCCAGACTATATATTTAAATTCATATTTCTGCAATTTAAATGGAGACTTTTGGAGGATAGTTCTTGCAGCTGTATTATTTATACAGCTATTCTAGTTCAGTTTCTGGTCAATGGTAGCCTCTGCTATGTATATAGATAGTCAGAGATTCTGCAATGGTAACTGAAAATTAAAGGGGATCTGTTGGATTCTGTCATGTTGGAGATACTATATTTGTGATTTGAATGCTTCTTGTTTCTTGTGAGACCAAGCCTGAATCAGGTCCAGGATTTATTGTATTTTGTATGACTGCTGCATAATCAGAAGAATTGCAAATGGCGGAGTAATAATCAACAAACGTCCATACTTCTGACTTTATGATGGAGAGAAAGTCATTGATGATCCGCTGAAGATGGCTGGGCCTAGGATACCATCATGAGACACCTCTGCAGTGATGCCTATAGCTGTGATGATTGACCTTCAACAACTACAACAATCTTCCTTGTGTGAGGTAGAATCCAACCAGGGAGAGTTTACCGCAATTCTCACTGACTCTAAGTTTACAAATTTATGAGAGGATAGGATGGATAGCCGGAGACTTTTCCCTGAGTACAAAAGTCAATTACTCAGGAACATAGTTTTAAGGTAAACAGCGGTGAGTTTAAAGGAGATGAGAGAGGCAAGTCTTTTGCACAGAGGTTGGTAATTGCCTGGAATAGGCTGCCAGAGGAGGTGGTGACAGCGGATACAATTGCAGTGTTTAAGAGGCATCTTGACAGATATATGAATAAGAGATAACAAGTTGTAGAGCTGGATGAACACAGCAGGCCAAGCAGCATCAGAGGAGCAGGAAAGCTGACGTTTTGGGTCTGGACCCTTCTTCAGAAATTACATATATATAATATGGAGATATATGAATAGGCAGGTAATAGACGGAGATGGACCACGTAGAGGCAAAACCTTTTAGCTTACATAGGCATTGTGTGTCGGCACAGTCTTGCTGGGTCGAAAGGCCTGCTCCTGTGTTATTCTTTCTTCTTTGTTTTGTTATGCCTCCTTGAGTCCCAACTCGGTCAAATGCTACCCTGATGTCAAAGGCAGGCTTTGCACCTCAAAGTGAGAATTTAGCTGTTTTGACCATTTCTGGATCAAGCTGTAAAGATGTCTATCCCTGAGTTACCCTGGTGGAGCCTGTATGTAGATTATCATCTCAAACAAAAACAGTGATGTGGGAGATTAACTCTTCAAGAGAGAAAATAGATTGGAGAGAAAAATAAAATCTAGTTTTATTTGTAAGTTTCACAAATTCAAACATCCTATGCATTAAAATATATAATGTTAGGAATTTATCAATATTATCGCAGATCACGTGACAGCACTATTATTTGTTGAATAGAATGCTGAGAACTGTCAATGAGCCAACTATTAATCTCTTCCTATTTCACTACAGGGTTTAATGTCCTTCTATCTCTTCTCTGCAAAAAGAAATGATCCTTCGAGCAATGTCTCAAGTTTCTGTATTTGTCATAATTCTCTTGTTATGGACTGGAGAAGAAACAAATGCACAGAGAGCAGGTATAGTGCCAGTTTCATTATTGAAAGCACAAATAATCGGTTATAATGCAAATCCCTTCTCTCCAACAGCAACCATGTCTGCTGCTCACTAATTTGTAGAAATCATAATACATAAAATCTCCATGTTGCCCTCTGTCTATTGTGAACTGGAGTTTGGCTCCTTCTTTCAGTTCAACATTGTTATGTTCTGCATTGTTTAATCCATTTATAATTTTATTTTAACTGTATCTCCATCATGGAAAGCCCTTCCAGCAAATAACTCAGTGTGAAAAGTCTTCCAACTTCTTCCACTTTGCTCTGAATCTGGGGCAACTTGTTACTGTTCCATTTTCCTCCTGCACTGACTATTCAACTCAGCAAAACAGCTGAGGTGTTAATTTAACTGACCACCTCACCAGACACAGTGGACCTTTGCAAACTGGTCTCACAATGTGGTCATTATTTATTATTGTGGGGGCCCTACTTTTAGATATGGGCATGCAGATATCTACAAATTTCAGACAGCTTGCTGGACTCTTCTAAAACATCCCAAGAAATCGAGAATTACAACTAACACAATGTCATCACAAGTCCAACAGCTTTGTTGTCAAAAACTCCAGTGCAGATTGATTTAAAACACTGTGTTATCACTGCACAGTCAATTTTCCCTTTCTGTGATTTGGTATTTCCATTCCCAGGTTTAATAACCATAGCGATAACTGAAAAGAAATTTACTTCACTTACTCTGAATACGTTTGAGCTGTAACCTTGCTAAAATAATCCATGAAGTAATCAAAAACATCGCTGGAGAAAGTAAATATATTGCCCGTTAGGACTCCTTGATTTATTTTAATCGAAGAGCATCCCAGAAGGGTAGTACAAAGTTCCAAGATATGGCATACTTAGATTCTCAAAAGTTTTTGCTGAAGGACTATTGCTATATCTGAAAGGAATAGGAATTAAATGTGAAACCTGAAAGTTGACTGAAGGAAACAATGTAGCAAGTACTTGCCATGAGAGTAATGTTGGTGCTTTGGAGAACCAAGTGTAGTATCACAGGGTTTGATGCCAGGTTCCTTTTGTTCCTAAATTCTAGTAAGACTATGGAAACCTTACTTTTATTACAGGTTAACAATGAGACTACAGGACCCTATTTTAGTTCTGTCTAAGTGGATTGTTTTGATTGGGTTAAGCTTAGGCCCATGTTTGTTTACTGTCATCTCCCCGTTCAGCATAGACATAAATGTGTAAAATGAATTGTTAAAGATACCAATCCAGGCTAATCCAGAAGGATTTAAAATGAAACATGAAAATCTTGATATTGCTGAGCTCAATAACTAGCGGGAAGATTACACACAGCTGGAATGCTGTTCACTTCAGCACAATGTTCTCGGACCAGTTGTTCTCATACCTGTATACAGGGAATATTAACTTTTCAGGTCCAATCAATCCTATCATAATTTATCAATGACTACTGTCCCTGCAGGTTATAAGATTCATACCCGAAATCAATTTGGCCAATTTTAATTGATTTTCTAACAATTATGGAAGTATAAAAGAAAATAAAATCAAATCTCACACATACTGGTCATAAGTACAGCAGATTTGGAACTGTTACACTGCTACACTCTAGAGTACGAGGGGTAATTTATACTTTATCGTGTGATGGAAGCACATTGTCAAAAATTAGACCTGGTTCTTAGGAACTAGGCAGCTGAAGTGTTGATGATAATAGGAAAACATAAGAGATCAGAATTGGAGGAGTACATACGTTTCTGCAGGTTGGTGCTGACAGGGATCAGATAGCATAATCTCACCATTAGAGATAATCAACACAGTAAAACAAATGTTCCTTATGCTTTTCCTTTACTGATTGTCTCTCTGTGCAAAGGCTGTTTTTGTTTGCTGGGTTCTCATATTCATAAGAGGAGAAACTGAAGAAATAGGCCAAAGGCAATGTCGTTTAACATGTAGCAAAGTCGAATACTGTTACAATACTCCATCTGTTTTCCTGGAATACAGAAAGACTTATACAGTACAAATTGCCTAGTCTAAGGTTTAAACCTCATGCTGGCTCCAGAAAGCGGACACCAGAAAATAATAATTAATTTATGTGGAATTGATAAGGAGGCAGAGCTATGATTTTGGAAAAAGGTGCTTTGAGGTGCTCTGTTTGAGGTTTTGAAGGGAAATAACAAATCAAAACATGTTTTACACTATGACAAAGGGTTCCAAAACTGGGACACAAGTTAAAAAACAATGGCCCATCATTAAGGGAATAGGAGCCGAAAGCACTGCGGTTGCTGTAAATCAGGAACAAAAACAAAGTTTCTGGAAAAGCTCAGCAGGTCTGGCAGCAACTGTGAAGGGAAAAAAACAGAGTTAGCGTTTCGGGTCCATGACCCTTCCTCAGAACTGGGGATCATGGGATCCCCATGGCATTATAACTAGTTCTGAGGAAGGGTCACTGGACCCGAAACGTTAAATCTGTTTTTTTCCTTCACAGATGCTGCCAGACCTGCTGAGCTTTGCAACCAACTTTATCTTTGTTCTTGATTAAGGGAATAGGATTGGTGTGGACCATTTGTCCCTTCAAAACATTTCAGCTGTTATATTCAACATCAGCTAATTAGTTCCTCATTCCTCTAATTAGCAAACCTATCCCAAAATTTCTTCATACTTATGATACCCTACTTAAAAAAAAGCTTTCAGTCTCAGTCTAGAAAAATTGAAAATAACATGACACCAGATTATAGTCCAACAGGCTTATTTGAAGACTCAAGCTTTTGGTGTCTCGCTCCTTCTTCAGGTGTCAATGAGAGAGTTGGCATCAGACACAGAATTTATAAGCAAAAGATCAAAGGGCCATAAAACTAATGTGAATGTGTTGAACAAACCTAAGATGACTGTTAAATCTTTAATCAGTTAGAAAGGATTAATATGCAAATTCCAGATTTCTTTCAAGTCACTGCCCTGAAATAACTAAAGGTTTTAGCAGTTCCCACAGAGGTGACATCCCAGGTCAGATTGTGCATTTTAGATGTGAGGCCTTGCTTAGAATCTGGCTGTGTATCAATTTGGAGTCAGACCAGTTTATTTCCAAAGTAGGAATTTATAAAATGCCACATTGACTGTCTACAAACAAAATAAAATGTATCTAAAATGTATCTGCAATTACAAATCTGCAAATGCCAATTCACCCCATAGATGTGTATGTGTATGTGTTCATGCTTGAGAGAGTGTGAGTGTGTGCGTGCGTGTGAGTGTGTTTGTGTTAGAGAATGTCTGTATGAGAGACGGTCTGTGTGAGTGTGTGTGTGTGAGTGTGTTTGTGCGAGAGAATATGTGTGTATGTATGCATGTGTGAGAGTGTATAGTGTGGTGGGGTCACCTGTAGTGCAACATGAACACAAGATCCAGGTTGAGGCCGCCCTCATGGGTATGGAACTTGGCTATCAGCCTCTGCTCGGTGACTCTGCGTTGTTGTGCATACCGAAGTCCACCTTGGAGGACATTTACCCGAAGATCCAAGGCCAAATGACCTTGACTGTTGGAGTGTTACCCCACTGGGAGGGAAACTGGCGATTGTTGCATGGTGTCCATTCATCTGTTGTCATTGCGTCTGCATGGTTTCGCCAGTATACCATGTCTGGGGCATCCTTTCCTGCAGCGTATGAGATAGGCAACGTTGGCTGAGTCACATGAGTATCTGCTGCGCACGTGGTGGGTGGTGTTCCCATGGTAGTGTCCATGTCGAAGATCTGACATGTCTTGCAGACGTTACCATTGACAGGGTTGTTTGGCGTTGTGGTCGACATTGTCCTGAAGGCTGGGTAGTTTGCTGCAAACAATAGTCTGTTAAAAGTTTGGTGGTTGTTTGAAGGTGACAAGTGGAGGTGTGGGGAAGATCTTGGCAAGGTGCTCATTGTCATCAATGATATGTTGAAGGCTGCGAAGAACATGGCATAGTTTCTGTACCCTATCGGTTATATCCCGTGTCTGTCTTCCGAAGAGGTTGTTACGATTTTTCACTGGCAATCGATGAGTTAAGCATCATATCCCATTCTTATGAGGACGTACTTCAACACCTTCAGGTGTCCATTGCATAACCCCTCATCTGAACAGATCCTGTGTATGTGTGGGGCTTGTCCATAGGGGATGGCTTTTTAAATATGTTTCGGGTGGAAGCTAGAGAAGTGCAGCATCGTGAGGTTATCTGTAGGTTTGCAATAGAGTGAGGTACTGAGGTGTCAGTCTTTGATGGAGATGCGTGTGTCCAAGAATGAGACTGATTCTAAAGTGTAGTCCATGTTAAATCTGATGCTAGGATGAAACTTGTTGATATCGCTATGTAGTTGTTTCAGTGATTCCTCAGCGTGAGTCCAAAGGGAGAAAATGTCGTCAATGTAACTGGTGTATAGCGTTTGTCGGAAGTTCTGTGCAGCAAAGAAGTCTTGATCAAACTTATACATGAAAGTGTTGGCATACTGGGGAGCAAATCTGGTTCCCATGGCTATTCCGTGTATCTGGATGAAGAACTTGTTGAAGGTGAAGACTTTGTGGTCGAGGATGAAGCAGATGAGTTGTAGCAGCGTGTCTGGAAATTGGCAGTTGTTGGCATTGAGTACTGAGACTGTTGCAGTGACCATCATCGCAGGGGATGCTGGTATATTTGCATTTGCAGATTTGTATTTGCAGATACATTCTATTTTGTTCAAAAAGCACACTAGACAGTCAATGTGGCATTTTATAAATTCCTACTTTGGAAATAAAACCAGTCTGAATCCAAGTTGATACACAGTCGGATTCGAAACAAGGCGCCACACCTAAAATGCATTGTCTGACCTGGGATGTCACCTCTGGTACACTGTGGGAACTCATAAAACCTTAGTTATCTCAGGGCAGTGACTTGAAAGAAATTCTGGAATTTGCATATTCATCCTTTCTAACTTAACAGCCATCTTAAATTTGTTCAACACATCCACATCAGTTTTTTGACCCTTTGATCTTTTGCTTATAAA